ATGTCCAGCTCTCTCTGTCACAGGTATAACCCGACCTCCCGACTCTCTTATTGACTTTAAAAAACGTCGCCACAACTATAATTACAATTGAGATTTAAACAGAATACCGACTATAAACAGAGAGAAAAATATTTTTTATAGAACCGGTAAGTCATCATAATTTCGAAAAATACGGCTTTCCCAATAGTCTAAGTAGAGGAGGAAGTATAGTGGGAAAAGCCCTGGTTTGCTGTCCGACTGTGCCTTTTAATGACAGTCTTCGCATATGTTCCATTCACAAATTTCAGATGCGGCGGGATCTGGGTGCCAGATGTGCCATCTTGTACTACTACGCAATCTTCTTGGACCACTCCCCGCGATCCCTTAGGAACCAACCGAACCACTCTGCCGTATCTCGGTGGTCTTCATCAAATCGAATTAGCGATGTTTCCGAGATTATGACACCTTCGATTAATTACCCGAGTCGCACTACTTCTGCCAAAGAATACGCGAATTTATTTATCCAGTATCGTTGGAGAAATTTTAATTTTGTTATACTCGTTGAATATATAATTGTATATTTGTTGATAAACTTAGTCAAAATAATATTTTAACGAATAGATAAATAAATATAATTAAAGTCTTACAAAAATTTTTTCAATTTTTGAAAAAGCTTTGAAGTAAAAATATTGATATCGCCTAGTACTGACTGGTGATTGTTGAGCTCGAGTGATCTCATTTTTCTCACTTCATCGGATGTTACTCTGTTATATTTTTCTTGCTTTCCAGACGTTAGTTTTTAACGCCTTCTATTTGCTAAACTAGACCTTATAAATAGGACGTGTATATAATGATTTATTTGCTTATCTAGGGGCAATACGTAATAACTTGCTGCCATAGTGAGTCCGTTAAATTAGTCCCTGTGTGCCGTTCTATAGTATTTTGTTTAGGAGTAGAAATTATGTATATAGATATAACTTACCCAGCCAAATCTGTCTTGTTTGACGAGCTTGTGCATAATCGAGAGTGAAAACTATTAAGATACCCACGATAAAACAGCACCTTGTTGGCATCCTGTTATGTACTGGGATATTTTCACAACGCACCTTGTTATGGGCGTAACATGAATGTACTCTGAAAAAAAATATATCACGTTGTATCATCATTTTTTCTTGTTTGCACTTTTCATTGAACTTATTAATTTTATTATTAAAAATGTACATTCCATTATTGTGACTTTCTTAAAAAGGATAAATATCTATCATTGTCTAAACAGCGATTGTGAATGACATCATTCGTTTTCATCTTTTACTAGGAAAATATTAATATTATTCCAAGGTGCAAAATGAATAACTATAAATATATATACATACATATACATTATATCATCAATACCAAATACATTAAAACAAAATAATAAAATATAATGTAAATAAAAAATGCTTATAATTTTAAATTAAGGTAAATAATTAATTTCTTTGTACCCGTACAGAAAAAAAGTAAGACAATTCAATTAGTAAAGATATTATTTTTCTGTATTTTTTGCAAGGAAATCAAAATTTAAAATAATAAACAATATATGCGGTGAATAATTATAGGCCCAGTCGCATGCTTAAAAAGCGATTGATCTCCCAGGTTCATTAAATACCATTTCTGAGAATAAATACATAGAGTCCTCGATTTCTGGCTTCCTTTTCCAGTATTTCGTTACCTTCTATCGTGATGCCGCTGCTCCAAGTGCAGTTTCTGTGGTTGTACCTTGGCTAGGCGCCAAAACCAAAAAGGCATTTACCGAGGACAAACTAATAATTTTAGATACTTCGCTATAAGCGTAGGCGCCTTTTCATTTTTGCTACTTTATGCTCCCTTCTCTTTCGAATCTATTCATCCAAGAAAACGGACCATGAAATCTTGCTTCTTATGAATTCATTGCATATTCCATTTTAGCTACTCGTACGGGCAAAATTGATTTTTTTAAATCTTACTCAGTGCTCTGTTTTTATCTTCGTTTAATTTTACCATTTTGCGATGTAAATGACATGAAATTCAGGAAGCTCTCGTAAACTTATTTTTTAATCTTTTTCGTTTGTTAATTATTTTTTTTTTACTACACGTTAAATTCAGTATATGTAAATAAATAAATAATTAATTGAAATCTGGGATTAATCAAAGTTATCAAATAAACATTCCAATGTCTTTAAACGGATTAAAATTAAATATTGACGAATTATTATATTTAAATATATAAGATTATAATACTGCATGTTATAATTTTGTTTATTTAATTTACGAATTATTATATATAAATATATAAGATTAAAATACTACATGTTATAATTTTGTATTTTTAATTTCTAAATAATAAGTTAAAGTTCCAATAATAAAACAACCTATTATTGAATTATATTAAATATTTAAGTAATTTTTTTTTGTTTAAATTTAATAGAAAAAATATCGGTTACTTTGTATACTAGAAATAACTTTTATTAAATGTTTGATATTTATTTATATTAGTTTAAAACTAAGAGCAAGAGAAGAGAGAAAGAGAGAGAGAGAGAGAAACTGTTAATAGATATTAGTTTATATAAATAAATTAAAATTCTGCTATTATAAAATATTATAAGTATATTATTACTAAACTAAAAAGAAAATGTATGAAATTATATTTAATTAATCGCAATTGAAAAATTTATCTTGGCCTTTGCTGCTCAATCAATTTGTTTTGAAATTCAATGTATTTTTCTAGTGTATGATTTTTTATTTTGACAAACAATTTTTTACCTTAATTTATATCATTATATAAACAACGATCTTAACCATAATATTTTATCAACATAAAATTAAGCCTACTAAGGTAACATTTACATAATTTAACTCAAAGAAGTATTTTATATTATTTTATTTATCGTTCATTTCTCTTAAATTCATTAAAGTTCTATTCCAATAGAATATTTTAAAAGAATTTATCTAATGTGTACTTATTATAACAACGTTAAGAGTTTGAAGGAATAAATTTATACCGAATGATGTATAAACTAATTTTTAGCGCATAATTTTTATTAACTATATATATTATAATAAGACTTTTACTACAATAATAATAATAATTTTGCATTTATATTATATTGTAAAATGAGACAAATAATAATCTTTGATTATAAGTTTATGTTGATTGTAAAAAACGAAAACTTAAACTTTAGAAATTATACAAAAATAATAATGATAATTATTATGTTAATAATAGGTATCTAAATCATTTACTGTTCTTACTTAAAAAGGTTAGTTTAATTACTTTAGCAGAATGACGAATGTAAAAAATTCATCGAAAAGTCACAAAGATATTAACTGATTGAGCCAATTCTTAGATTAATCAGTGAGACTGTTTTTCTCGTGTCATCAATAAAGCGCATCATCCTGAAGCGCTACAATTCTTGTACATAAAACTATACTTGCCATTTTTATAATTGTCACGCAGATGTTTCATCGCATTAAAAGAAAGAAGAACGACTTAGGAACATATTTTATGATATTCAATTTCATAATCATTTATTGAAAAACAGTTTATTGATTAAACAAATTGTCTGACTAGTATGAAGTTAACTTTTGTAATTGTGCAAAGAATTTTTAGTTTTTGTAGAATATTTTTTACTAATAATAATAGAGCAATGAGTAACAGGTCACATTTTAAGTATTGTATGACTTTAAGCATAAAAAATTCGAAAAATACTGGCTCAGTTAAAACGAATGTTAAAACTTTGGATGATAGATAATGTGGGAGTTGAGGGAGTTTGAGATAAATAAGCAAATAAAAACGTTTGCCCTGTAGCGTACAATTAAGTCAAGAAGAAAAAGAAGCAATAAAATGTAATGAGCATTTGTAGAAGCAAGAAAGAATTCCTAAAATTCCTCAATTCCGCACTGGCAAGTAGAGGCAAAACGTCGAGACGAATATATACGCGAGTGCTGCCGTTAACGAAACACTGTCTACTCTAAACAACTCGTCGGTACTTTTCGTGTCTGATCGGCCTAATGAACAGTTTCCTGAAGAGAGCGACTCGAGATGAAGCTCAGACGTGGAGCGGCGGCAACGGTCGCTCGAGTGCCAGCTGAAGTTAAGCCCAACACATCCTGGTTTGAAACTACATAGAGAGTCCTGGATTAGTTCTCCGCGTTTTTACTATAACCTTCTTAGCTTTCGTTAGCTACTGTTGTTTTCCGCTAGTCTTCAATTATTTCAGAAAAGCGGTGAGCAAACTCTCATACGTACCTTGGTGAAATAAATGCCTTCGCGAAATCAAAATTTATTAAATCGCGTTTTTTTTTCTAAATAACTAGATAAAGAAGAAAGACAAGGAAACCTTATTATCGATTGGCTGATCAATAAAGAACTCAAATCTCTGCAAGGCAAATGGCAGACTTGTCTGTTAATATTTTTTCGGACTCAAGTGCCAAGAAAATGGCCCGTTTTGTCAAGTCTACGATTATGCCTGTATTAAGGAGCGGATCAACAATGACGTTGTTTAACAACGTTGTTTAACTTTTACTTATTAATAACGAATTCATATTCCAAAATAATAATAATAATAATAATAATAATAATAATAATAATAATAATAATAATAATAATAGTTGTAGATGGTAATTAATACGATAATTAAGAATATTATAAAAATAGGTATATGGGCATAAGTAAATAGTTGCTTGAGTACACGAGCCAATATTAAAATGGAGTAGAGTTAAGATTTAGAACTTCTCAATGACCCTCTATGCAGCTTAAGTCATTCGATAATAGAATTAAAATTAATGAACGCAAGTAGCCCGTTTCCCAGTGTATATAGACTGGATATGAGACAGTTCCAGTTTTCTATAACGAATACAATCTGCGAGCAAACGTGAAGCAACAATGATTATGGTTTTATAGTGTTTTTGTTTATTTAAAAAATTGAAATTTCTTAAATTTAATTTGCACTAAAATTTTTAATTGACTGATGGAAATTTTCAATCTACTCGCATAACTAGTCAAAATAAATCGAAGACAAGAAATATCTTAAACATAAATTACTATCGAAGGGCAAACACGATATACATGGAAAGTAGGTGTTAAAGAATTAGGCCTGTACATTAACTAAAGCTTTGTGTTTAGCATATAATACGGTTAAGAGTTAGTAGTCAGAATCGCATAATACTCTGTGCTGTTTCTTTGGTGCAAGATTGGCTCAATTGCCTTAACGATATATGCGTAACACTGCGTGATTAGCTAGGCGAAACAGACGACTAATCCGCGATTATATAAACCAAAATCTCGATAAAGTATAAGCCTACTAATTATTTATAATGAATATTGTCTCTATTTTGTTCATTAATTAATTAAATTCATTTTATTATATTAATTGCTTATTTATATATACTACTTAATTTTCATTGACTAGAAGAGCTGTACATTGGGCTCTGGAATTCGTCGCCTAATAATTATTTATTACTAATAATCACATTGAAAATATTTAGTTATATGAAAAAATAATATTTTTGATTACTTTCTGTAGAATTATGTTTGATTTTGTTATTATTTTAATAATAATAAAATAATTAAAACAATTATTTCATTATTATTAAAGAAAAATTTTATTTTCACTAACGATAAGCAATAAGATTAAATGTAAAACTTAATGTTCGAGACTTTTTTCCTCTTTTCATGTTCTCACAATCTAATATTATGAACATTTAATTCGAGTAAATTTAATTTTTGTTGAATTTTTTTTAAATAAAATTTTTTTCAACTAATTTTATAATAATTTTATTATAAAAGTAAACAAGGAACATATGTACGTATATGGGGTACAAAGCAATTGTAAAAACTTTTCGGCATTAATTCAAGTAGAATTATCGAAATTTTTGTATGTATATATTTGTGAATATATTTATTTTTGGAGTTATCGTAATGAATGTAAGGATTCACTTGATTGATGTTTAGATAGCATATAAATTAAATGTGATTAATCACGAAATTATTCTTAAGTTACTCTATTAGATAGATATATTCCTTTCATGATGTTATCTAACAATAATCATTAATTGTCTGAAAGTATGCAAGTTACTATTAATTAAGTACTTAGCTTAAGCTTTTAAGTA